TAATTGTCTCTATTTCTAATATTTTACAATTGAAAATTTTTATATCTCAAAAAGAATAGATTTGTACCAAGTTGTTTGCCCCTACTCAAATAACGTTTAACTAACCTGTTTGAATTCTTCATCAGTGTCAGCTCTCATGTGCTATTGTCATGCTGCCACAGCATATATGCCTACAAATTTGAATCTAGGGAAATTGATTTTGAAGTTTGTTTAGAAGCACAAGCAACCTAAGAGGTTAAGGATATGAAAGGTCACATTGAACTTAAGTGTGCACTGGTTAATGATACTAACTTCCATTTCTTGATTACTTGCTGTGTGTCAAAGACCTTTAAAAATTTGAGTTGAGTTGGGGACAACAGGTGCTTTGCTGTCAAACCTGGCAACCTGAAGTTTAGTTCCTGGGACCCACATGGTAGAAGAAGAGAACAGACTCCACATATTGTCTCTACCCTTCACTTGTGCACCAAAGAGTGAGTGTACGTAAATGCACACACACACACACACACACACACACACACACACACACACACACAAACACACACACAAATTAAAAATTTTTACATTTGTTTTTTGAGGTAAGGTCTTGCCATGTATAGGGCAGGCTGGCCTGACAGGTCTTTTCTTGTGGTCCTTCTGCCTCACCTAGTTTGATGTTTATAATGTCTTCATGGGAGATAGATGTCATCTTGTTTTAAGCAATAAGGAAATCGTGACTCTTAAAGAGATTTCTCCAAGGTTTCATATACAGGGAGTAGTAGAAATGAAATCATACATGGTTCCATGAGACCACCTCACTGTAATTGTCCAGAGGTATGGGCATACATACATTTTCATTCTGGGTTGTCATTTTGCACATTCTTGGTAATGTCTTCTAGCTTATTTTTTAGTTTTGGTGATTGTTAATCTTATAAAATAACAATGATAGTTGAGAATATTTTCTGTTCATGTTTTAAGAAAGAAAAATATTTATGATTCAAATACATTGTATAGGCATAATTCTTATTCCTGAGAACTTTATATAGATGAAAGAGTCATATGGCAATCCAGATCCCAAAGTAAAACTATAAGAATATTCACCATTAATGTGACAAAAAACCAATGTAGCACCTACTTACTAATCTAGAGTCTTTGTTGGTCTTGGGCTATTTTGTATATTTCACACAATATAAGACAAATACAGTATTTGCCAGTTGAGGGGAAATATATTTTATGCATGTGTAATTCCACAAAATCCTGAAAATGATATTGGAGAAGTGGTCAAGATACATATAAAATCATTGGCAACAGCAGATCTGATAGAGAAAATATCAGAAAAAACAAAGTTATGGAAATAATGGCACAAGAGACACCTAGAATTTTATGAATATCTCATTGGCTCTTGGGACAGCTGATAAAATCTGAGGATTTATGGAAAAGTGATCGTCCTTATAGTTCAAACTCAAATATAAAGGAAAGATATAATATTCTATTATAATTTCTTTGTAGAGATTATACACAAAAATACCTAACTTTTTGAGATTTTGTTTAATTTTTTAAAAATAGTCAACAATATTTTAACTTGGAAAATGAGATGTAGATCCTAAATAAATTCACTTTCAGTTGCCTTTGCCCTTTTCCAGTGTTCCTCAAATAGAGAGCTTAGCTCTTCCAGACAGAGGTCTACCCAGAGCTTTTATAGCCAACTTAGTTGTATGGGCACAGTTGAAAGTTTCGGATTCAGACATTTCAGTATCTGTGCAAGAGGAGCTCCTACTTGTCAAAGAATGTAGAGTTAGAAACATTTCATAACTTTTCTTTTTCTAAGACAACATCTCATGTAACCCTGGCTGGACTTGAACTTACTCATAGCCACTTCTGCCACCCAAGTGCAAGCTGGGATTGCAAACCTAGGCAAGCACTCTACCAACTGAACTACATCCCAGCCCAATAGTTACAGCTTTATAGGCTATTCAGAATTTTAACTGGAGAGGAATGGGATACATATACAAGGGTTTATCTAATACTTACACTCTGTACGTGTATGTTTTGGGGGATAAAAATTGCTATAGATGTCTTCATCTACACACTACTCTTAACTACTGTATGATTTATTCTCTTTACCAATATAAAAATTTATCAGTTAATGCTTTGGGGGAGAAATGAATAAACTAAAGTCAAAGTATTGAATTTTCATTAAGGTAAACTTAATTCAAAATTATTAGTTTTTACTCCAAGATCCTTTGTACATTTTGGAGATTAAAATATCCTTTATGCAACAGTTACTTCTTAAGTCATTTTGTTAACAAATACTGAAAAGTCGATTCCTCCTCCTTACTTAACTTTTAAAATAAAAGCCCAAGGAGACTGGAGAGATGGCTCAGTGGTTAAAAGGAGTAGCTGTTCTTCTAGAGGTCCTGAGTTCATTTCCCAGCAACCACATGGTGGCTCACAACCATCTGTAATGAGATTTGGTGCCCTTTTCTGGCCTGCAGGCATACATGCAGACAGAACACTACATAATAAATAAACCTTAAAAAAAAAATAAAAACCCATAAGTTTGGGGACCTGGTCATCTAAATGATCTTAAAATTACTATAAAATCATCTCACTCTTCCTTAAAACCCTTGAAGTGGCCGGGAATGGAGGTACATACCTTTAATCCCAACACTTGGAAGGAAGAGGCAGGAAGAGTCAGGAGGATCTCTATAACTCTGAGGCTAGAATGGTCTGCATAGTGAATTTCAGGTCAACAAGGACTATATAGTGAGGTTCTGTTTAGAGGAGGCAGGGATGGAGGGAGGCGGGAGAAAAGCCATTGGGAATCACTGGAATAAGTAAGTTCCCCATTTGTCTCCTTGACCTCATGTAACACTCCTTTACATATATGTTTCTTACCTCTGGGAAATTCATTTCAGTCAGTTCTCATTGTACTCTTCCCTAACATAACTCTTTATTTTGCTTATTTCACATAATTATTTTATGTAACTGTGTTTTTGTCTACTGTGTAATGAACTTCTTTAATTCATCATTTAATAAACATTTACAGGTAGAACTGGAGATGTACCTTAGTTGGTAAAGTGCTTGCTTTTCATGCACTAAGCCGTGGGTTTGACCTTCAGCACCACATAAACTGGTGGGCATGGTGGCCCACTCCTGTAGTGAGACAATCCTAAATTCAGTGTTGTTTGAGACCAGCCTGGCTATACAGTACCCTGTCTCTAAGTAAATTAAATAAATAAGCACATGTGCTTGGCATTGCAGCTCTAATCATGTGGTAGCTACTTCCCCCTCTCTTCAAGGAGTTTATAGCTTTGTAAAGTTGCTCCTTATACTACAGTGTTAAATATTACAACAGAAATTCAGAGGCCAGCCTAGTCTATAGAGCAAGTTCCAGGATAGCCAGAGCTACACAGAGAAACCTTGTCTAGAAGAGTAGAGTGCTGGGGTGGGAAAATAGCTCAGTGGATAAAGTGCATGCGTAAGAATCTCAGTTCAGCTCACCAGCATCCACCAAAAAGCTGGGCTCAGTGGCACCCATATATGACTCCATTCTAGCAGAAATACAAGTTTCAGCTTCAGTCAAGAGGCCCTACCTCAAAAAATAAAGTGAAGAACAATAGAGGAAGACAACCTCTGACTCCATAAGTGAATCTGCACATACATATGCACAAACACCACACATGAACCCTGGAAATTAGAGTGATTGGAAAGCTTTAGCATATTTGTAAACTACCCTAGACTAAATAAAGAAGGCTGTGTTTAATGAAGAAAAAAGGGGGGGCTGGCTTCCTGGAGATGACAGCTAAATATTAAAAGAAAACAAATTTGAGGAAGAGGAGGAAGGTGGGCCTAAAATGAAAGCCATAGTAAGTCTACGGCATACCGCCTGGAACATGCTAGGCAAGTTTACACACAGACCTTCAGAGCAGAAGCTAGGCCTGCTTAAGTACTTGGATGGCAGACAGCCTGGGAATAGGCTGTCCTTTTTGGTTTTTCAAGACAGAGTTTCTCTATGGCTTTGGAGGCTGCCCTGGAACTAGCTCTTGTAGACCAGGTTGGTCTTGAACTTACAGATCCTCCTGCCTCTGCCTCCCAAGTGCTGGCATTAAAGGTGTGGGCCACCAACGCCCAGCAGGCTGTCTTCTTATAAACAACAAAAAGACAGAGCCATGATAAATTGCAGTGAGGTTGTGATGTTGTTTGTGGATATTGATATTTATTTTAGACACTTTTATATTGGAAGAAGTTCCAGAATTCATTTGTTCTACCTGAGACTATGAAGTTATATGTAACAGTATTTGCTAAAGGCACCATACTACTACTATTAAATTAGACTGAAGCAAAAGTGAATGGTCAGCTATAACTGTTTGTATGTTGTTACTAAGAATTAGAAAATTAGTTAAACAAATTATAAAAAGTCTACATTATAGCCTAAATCCATCTTACAGTCTTGACTAATAAATTATGCTGCCTTGGTAGATTATTTGGGGAATGCTTTTGAATTAATAGATTTAAATGATGGCACTTTGAATTGCAAGTTTTGTATGTAAATCTGTAAGTAGGAAGAGATATGACTTGTAGCAAATCTCTATTATTACAATCTTATGTTTAGTATGTCCCCTAAGAGTCAAGTCCTTAAAATCTGTTTTCTACTAAACTTTCTTTTTTCATTTCCTGGTCAGGTTCTGGAGTTTTTCCCTTTCTTATTTTCTTTCTTTCTTTCTTTCTTTCTTTCTTTCTTTCTTTCTTTCTTTCTTTCTACCTACTGTGCTCCAGACACCTGTCCACAATTTTTAGTTTCAAATAAAATCAACAGTGACATAGGCCAGTTATAGTATGTCTCCAATAGTTAGTAATCTGGCTGTATGGACAAAGGCACTGTCTTTTGTGTCAGAATTTCTGGGGTTCTACATGGAGGTTGCAGACCTCTAGTTCCCATTGGTATGTAGAGATTGTTTCTAAAGTCATATTTTCTTTAAGTAGAGATTAAATGAACCAGTTTTTCTTTTCTGCTTTTGTAGATTTCTTGATAATCGGCTATTTGCTACCTGCTCTGATGATACTACAATAGCACTATGGGATCTGAGAAAATTGAACACCAAAGTATGCACTTTACATGGTCACACTAGCTGGGTGAAGAACATCGAATATGATACTAATACAAGACTCTTAGTAACATCAGGATTTGATGGAAATGTCATTATTTGGGACACTAACAGGTTTGTAAATAGGAGACCATGTTAGGAATGTAATACTGTAAAACTTCTTTTCTCTTTACAAGTTCAGTGTTCTGATCTAGAGTCTGGGAGTGGGGTAGGGGAAAGTTAGCTTTATGGGGGGAGAAAAACAAGGGACTGGGGACCTGGCTCAGTTGAGTGCTTACTTAGCATGTATGAAGCCTGGCATTTGCCCCTCATCACCACATAAAACCAGACATGGTGATGTAAGCATGTTATCCCAGCACTATAGAGGTAGACACAGAAAGATCAAAAGTTCAAGGTCATTCTTGATTACATAGTATTTTGGGGGATAGCCTGGGCTATATGAGATGCTTCTAGAGGTGGGGGCAGGTGTAGTGGTGCAGGCCTTTGATCCAGACATTCAGGGAGGCAGAGGCAGATGGATCTCTGAGAGTTTGAGGCCAACCTGGTCTACATAGAGAGTTACAGAACAGCCAGGGCAATGTCCAGAGA